TCAAGGCACCCGAGGCCCTCCAGGGACGCGGCCCTCAGCTCCTGGCCGCCGTGGAGCTGGCCGACCACCTGTGGACACCCCGCGCGCCGCGGCAGCGCCGGAGGGGGCAGAGTCAGAGCGTGTAGTGCATTGAGGACGGGTGGTGACCCAGACAGGATCGCGTCGCTTAAAAAAAAATCTGGACAGGAGGCTGTGGGCCGTTTTCGGCCCCTGGGGGCCCTCGCCGGGCCTCGGGGCCGTCAAAAAACGGCTCAGGATGAAGAGCCGGTCCTGGGGAAAGGGTGGGGATTTCCAGGGGTGCCTTATTGAAAAAATGAGGACGTCGCATGTCTGGGCAGAGTCAAAGCGTGCATTGAGGACGGGTAGTAACCCAGACAAGATCGCGTCGTAAAAGCTAGCCTGGCGAAGAAAACTAACCCACCCGACCATATGCAGTTGTGAACACCGTCATTGTTAGTATCGCCTTCGGTGGATCTCCTTACGGGGCCACGAAGCGCGCGAAGAGTGTGCCGAAATGGGGCAGGGCCGCCATGCGGGCGCTGCTACTGGGGCCTGATGTGAAGCCCCCGTCATGGGGCCACAAAACGTGTGAGGGGTATGCCGAGATGGGGCGGGGACGCCATGCGGGCGGTGCCACTGGGGCCTTCGGTGAAGCTCCCGATGGGGCCACGAAACGTGCGAGGGGCGATCGGCGATGATTGCGATGTTAATAACGATGCGCAGGACCTGAGGTGGAGCTCTCTATGAGGCCACGAAACGTGTGAGGGGTGTGCCAAAATGGGGCGGCACCGCCATGCGGACTGCGCCACTGGGCCTTTAGGTGGAGCTCCCTATGGGGCCACGGAACGTGTGAGGGGTGTGCCAAAATGGGGCGGCGCCGCCATGCGGACTGCGCCACTGGGACATCAGGTGGAGCTCCCTATGGCGCCACGAAACGTGTGAGGCGTGTGCCAAAATGGGGCGGCGCCGCCATGCGGACTGCGCCACTGGGACCTTAGGTGGAGCTCCCTATGGGGCCACGAAACGTGTCAGGGGTGTGCCAAAATTGCGCTGCGCCGCCATGCGGACTGCGCCACTGGGACGTTAGATGGCGCTCTCTATGGGGCCACGAAACGTGTCAGGGGTGTGCCAAAATAGGGCGGCGCCGCCATGCGGACTGCGCCACTGGGACCTCAGGCGGAGCTCCCTATGGGGCCACGAAACGTGTGAGGGGTGTGCCAAGAGGGGGGAGGGAGGAGGAGGAGAGGAGAGGAGAGGAGAGGAACGCGGGGACCGTCTCTTCAAAACGAGGACCCAACACCACAGTATGTCTGGGAAACATCAGGACGGGAGGTTCTTGGCCGCTTTCGGCCCCTGGGGGCCCTCGCTGGGCCTGGAGACCGTCAAGAAACTACTCAGGATGAAAAACAAGTCCCAGGGAAAGGGTTGGGACTGCCAGGGGCCCGTATTGAAGAAATCAAGACGTCGCATGTCTGGGGAGCGAGCATCGAGAAAGTGCGGGGGGGTCCTTTGGGCGTCCTCTAGGGGTCCTGGGCTGGCGTCTGGGGGGGCCAAGGGCGGCTCCCAGACATCTGATGCCCTGAGTTTCTCCAGGCGGAGCCCCAGAAGTCTCGACCCTTGGCCAGAGGAGGAACATGGACCACCCCCACCGATGGGTTCTCGGTGGTGGTGGTCCGTGTTTCTCCCCCGACGTTCCTGACAGTGCTGGCTCTTCACCTTGGCTCGTTTTCCGCCGGTCCCGGGCCCCAGCGAGGTAAAACAGGGCTAGGATCGGGATAAATCGCTCCAGAGCGTTCTGGAGCGCTCTCAGAGCCTCCCGGAACGCTCTGGAGCGGCCGCGGCGCCCAATACGTCCTCCAAACCCGCCGATTCTCAGAGACTTCGAGTTCTCCCGATCCGATTCTGCCCCGATCTTCGCGTCGTTTTAGCGAGGGCCCTCCGAGGACGAACACGGCGAAACACTCCCGTGCTGAGTCTCTCGCGACGCCGAAGGTCCCGGCCACCGGCGCCCCGCTGCGCGGCGGGGCCACCCGTCGCCCTCGACCGGCACTGCCCTGGGCTCCGGCGCCGCGCGCAGAGTGCAGCATCGCGAGGAAGGTCATGACCGGAGCCCCTCCTCCTCCTCCTCCTCCTCCTCCTCCTCCTCCTCCTCCTCCTCCTCCTCCTCCTCCGCCTCCTCCTCCTCCTCCTCCTCCTCCTCCTCCTCCTCCTCCTCGACGCAGCTCTATGCTTCACCCCCGCGCGAAGCCCGCCGCCCCGTGCGCGCGCGGTCCGCCGCGCAGCGGGGCGGCGCCCTGTCCGCGGCACGCCTCGAGCCAGATCGACCTGTGATCGTCTCGGGGCCCGAAGCGGGGCGAACCCTCCTGGTGTGAGCAGCAGCTGCGGCGCCTGGCTCTCAGGGGAGGCCCGCCTCCTGGAGGCTTCGGCGCCCCGCTCCGAGGTGGGCCCCCCCTCGGCACACTGCCCGGCGGCGGGCGCATGGCCTGCTTTGCATCGCCTGCCGGCAGGCCGATTACAGGCCCATCGATTGGTTTTTACGGGGTCTGCTGGCTCACGCGCTGTAGGGCCTGGTATAGCTCATGCATTGGCCTATGATGCCGCCTGGAGCTTTTGGATGGCGGAACGCTCCGCCGGCTCTGGCCCACCGCGCTTCGGCGCTGTCCACTTCCCAGTCCCGTCGTCAAAGTCCCGGGCTTTCCCGAGCCTCCCGCCCCGCGAAGCGGAGCGACACGCTATCCGCTCGCCTGTCGCCGGCGCCGCCGCCGCCCTATTTTGGCACACCCCTCACACGCTTCGTGGCTCCATAGGGAGCTCCACCTAAGGTCCCAGTGGCGCAGTCCGCATGGCGGAGACGCCCTATTTTGGCACACACACACACACACACACACACCCCTCACACGTTTCGTGGCCCCATGGGGAGCTCCAACTAAAGTCCCAGTGGCGCAGTCCGCATGGCGGCGCCGCCCCATCTTGGCACACCCCTGACACGCTTCGTGACCCCATAGGGAGCTCCACCCCAGGTCCCAGTGGCGCAGTGCGCATGGCGGCGCAGCCCCACTTGGGAACACCCCTCGCACACATCGTGGCACCATAGGGAGCTCCACCTACTACGGTGGCGCAGTCCGCATGGCGGCGCCGCCCCATTTTGGCACACCCCTCACACGTTTCGTGGCCCGCAGGGAGCTCCACCTCAGGTCCCATAGGCGCAGTCCGCATGGCGGCGCAGCCTCATTTTGGCACACCCCTCACAAGCTTCGTGGCCCCATAGGGAGCTCCACCTACTAAGGTCCCAGTGGCGCAGTCCGCATGGCGGCGCAGCCCCATTTTGGAATACCCCTCAGACGCTTCGTGGCCCCATAAGGAGCTCCACCTCAAGTCCCAGTGGCGCAGTCCGCATGGCGGCGCCGCCCCACTGCGGCACACCCCTGACACGTTTCGTGGCCCCATAGGGAGCTCCACCGAAGGCCCCGGTGCCACCGTCCACATGCGACCCCCACACCCATCTTGGCACACGCGTCACACGTTTCGTGGCCCCATAGAGAGCTCCACCGAAGGCCCAGTGCCACCGTCCACATGCGACCCCCACCCACAGCCATTTCGGCACACCCGTCACACGTTTCGTGGCCCCATGGGGAGCCACACCGAAGGCCCCAGTGCCACCGTCCACATGCGTCCCCCACGCTCATTTCAGCACACTCCTCACACACACTTCGTCGCCCCATAAGGAGCTCCGCAGAAGGCCCCAGTGCCACCGTCCACATACGTCCCCCACGCTCATTTCAGCACACCCCTCACAAGTTTCGTGGACCCATAGGGAGCTCCACCGAAGGCCCCAGTGCCACTTTCCCTCATGCGTCCCCCACACCCATTTTGGCACACCCCTGACACGCTGCGTGGCCCCATAGGGAGCCACACCAAAGGCCCCAGTGTCACCGTCCACATGCGTCCCCCATCCTTATTCCGGCACACCCGTCACACGCTCCGTGGCCCCACAGGGAGCTCCACCGAAGGCCCCAGTGCCATCGTCCACATGCGTCCCCCACGCCCATTACGGCACACCCCTCACACGTTTCGTGACCCCATGGGGGGCTCCAACGAAGGCTCCACCGAAGGCTCCTACTCCTCCTCCGCCTCCTCCTCCTCCTCCTCCTCCTCCGCCTCCGCCTCCGCCTCCGCCTCCGCCTCCGCCTCCGCTTCCGCCTCCGCCTCCTCCTCCTCCTCCTCCTCCTCCTCCTCCTCCCCCTCCTCCTCCTCCTCCTCCTCCTCGCTCCTCGCTCCTCGCTGCTCGCTCCTCGCTCCTCGCTCCTCGCTCCTCGCTCCTCGCTCCTCGCTCCTCGCTCCTCGCTCCTCGCTCCTCGCTCCTCGCTCCTCGCTCCTCGCTCCTGCTCCTCGCTCCTCGCTCCTCGCTCCTCGCTCCTCGCTCCTCGCTCTTTGCTCCTCGCTCCTCGCTCCTCGCCTCCCTCCCCCCTTTCCCCCCCCCCTCCTCCCCCTTCCCCCCTCCCCCCCCCCCACCCACCCTCGCTCCTCGCTCCTCGCTCCTCGCTCTCGCCTCTAGACCTCTCGCTTCTCGCTCCCGCTCCTCCGCTCCTCACCCTCGCTCCCGCTCCTCGCTCCATCGCTCCTCGCACCTCGCACCTCGCTCCTCGCCTCCTCAGCTCCTCGCTCCTCCTCATCCTCCCCCCTCCTCCTCCTCCATCCTCCTCCTCCTCATCCTCTCCTCCTTCGTTCCTCTCTCCTCCTCCTCATCCTCCTCCTCTCCTCCTCCTCCTCCTCCTCCTCATCTTGCTCCTCCCCCTCCTCCTCCTCCTCCTCCTCCTCCTCGTCCTCCGCCTCCTCCTCTTCTTATTATGAGTATTAGTCTTCTGAATCCTATTATTAAGATTATTATTATTATTATTAGTATTATTAGTGGTATTAGTATTAGTATTATTATTATTCGTATTATTATTATTAGTAGTATTAGTATTAGTATTATTATTAATAATATCATTATTAGTATCATTATTTTTTATTATTATTACTATTATTATTGTTATTAGTATTAGTATGATTATTATTAGTAGTATGAGTGTTATTATTATTATTGGTATTGCTAAGATTATTAGTATTAGTATTATTATGTATTAGTATTGTTATTGTTATTATTATTATTATTTATAGTAGTAGTATTCGTATTACTAGTATTAATACTCTTACTATTACTAGTATTATTATCACTAAAAATATTAATTAATATTATTATTAATAATATCATTATTATTAGTAGTGTTGTTGTTATTGTTATTAGTAGTAGTAGTATTATCATCATTATTAAGATTAGTATTGCTATTCTTATAATTATTAGTAATATTATTATAAGTATTAGTATTATGATTATGGTTATGAGTATGAGAATTAGTTTTAGTAGTAGCATTATTAGTATCAATATCATTATCAGTATTATTACTTGCATTGATTTTAGTATTAATATTAGTGTTACTATTACTAGTACTACTATTAATCATAATCATAGTACTCATAATAATAATTAATATAATTACTAAGAATAATAATAGTATTAGCAGTATTATGATTAGTAGTAGTAGTAGTAGTAGTAGTATAATTCGTCGTCTTACTCTTCTTCTTCGTGTTATTAGTATTCGTCGTATGTGTCGTATTAGTCGTAGTGTGCTTCTTCGTAGTAGTATTACGATTGATATTAGTAGTAATATTATTATTCGTAGTTGGACTCTTCTTCTTAATAATAGTGGTATTAGTATTACTGATATTATCATTCATATTAGTATTATTATTGTTGTAATTATTAGTATTATTAATAATATTAATACTGGTATCAATATTAGTGGTCGTCTTCTTCGTCCTCCTCTTCCTCATCCTCCTCCTCCTCATCCTCCTCCTCATCATCATCAGCATCAGCATCATCATCATCATCACCATCATCATCATCATTATCATCATCATGATCATCATCATCATCATCATCATCATCCTCCTCATCCTCCTCCTCCTCCTCTTCCTCCTCCTCCTCCTCCTCCTCCTCCTCCTTCTCCTCCTCCTCCACCTCCTCCTCCTCCTCCTCCTCCTCGATGTCCTCGCTATCCTCGCTATACTCGCTATCCTCGCTGTCCTCGCTGTCATCGCCATCCTCGCTATCCTCGCTATCCTCGCTCCACCTCGCTCCTCCTCGCTCCTCCTCGCTCCTCCTCGCTCCTCCTCGCTCCTCCTCGCTCCTCCTCGCTCATCCTCGCTCCTCCTCCCCCTCTCCTGAGGAGGCCTGCCCCCTATCGCTGCCCGCCCCTCGGCGCGCCGCCGTCCCGCCGGTTTTTCCTCGATGTCGCGGCGGGGGAGTGCTGGACGGCGAGCGTGGGCGAGGCGGGGCGAGGCGAGGGTGGTCAAGAGGGGGATGAGGACAATGGTGGGGGGGGGGATAGCGTGGCGGCAGCCACGATGCCTCCCGAGGACTCACGGCGCCGCGCCTCCTCTCAGCGCCGGTTTTTCATCGGGCAGGGGGACCCCTCCGGAAACCTCCCGCCGCGAGATCCCTCCGCCGCGCGAGGCTGTCCAGCTCGTGTCCAGCTCGTGTCCAGCTCGGCCCCCCTCCCCAGTGCGAGGCGGGCCGAAGCCCCGCAGAGGGCGTCCGCCGCGCGGTGGCGCGCGGAGGCCCCCCGCCTTCGCGGAGCCGCAGCCGTCCAGCACGTCCACCAGGGGGGCCTCGGCGCGCGGGGAGTCGCGGAGGGGGGAGTCACGGTCGGGCTGCCCGTCGTAGCTTCCTCCTCCTGCTCCTCCCTCCCTCCTCCCTCCTCCCTCCTCCCTCCTAGTCTCTGGCGGTCCCAGAGCCTGGTGAGGACCCCCAGAGGCCAGAGACAGCCAAAGAAATGCCGCCATGAATTCTTCGCGATGCGAGGATATGAGGGTTGTCCCTCCATCATCCATCCTCCCACCTTTCTCGTCCCTCCTCCCACCCTCCCTCTGCACGTATTCCGCCTCCGCATGCTCCTGCATGGACGTTCGCCCGTTGATTTTCTGGTGCTCCTCCTCCTCCTCCTCATCATCCTCCTCTCCTCTCTCCTACCTCCCTCCTCCTCCTCCTCTCCTCCTCTCCTCATCTCCTCCTCCTCCTCCTCCTCCTCCCTCCTAATCCTCCTCCTCCTCCTCCTCCTCCTTCCTCCTCCCTCCTCCTCCTCCTCCTCCTTCCTCCTCCTCCTCTCCTCCTCTCCTCTCCCTCCTCCTCCTTCCTCCTCCCTCCTCCTCCCCTCCTCCCTCCTCATCCATCCTCACCTACTTCATCAGCATCATCATCGTCATCATCATCATCATCATCATCATCATCATCATCATCATCATCATCATCATCATCATCATCATCATCATCATCATCATCATCATCATGTCATCATCATGACATCATCATCATTCATCATCATCATCATCATCATCATCATCATCATCACATCATATCATCATCATCATCATCATCATCATCATCATCATCATCATCATCATCATCATTCATCATCATCATCATCATCATCATCATCATCATCATCATCAGCATCATCATCATCATCATCATCATCATCATCATCATCATCATCACCATCATCATCATCATCAGCATCATCATCATCATCATCATCATCATCATTCATCATCATCAGCATCATCAGCATCATCATCAGCATCATCATCATCATCATCATCAGCATCATCATCATCATCATCATCATCATCATCATCATCGTCATCAGCATCATCATCATCATCGGCATCATAAGCAGCAGCATCAGCATCAGCATCAGCATCATCATCATCAACATCATCAGCATCAGCATAATCATCGTCATCATCATCAGCATCATCATCGTCATCATCATCATCATCATCATCATGTCATCATCGTCATCATCAGCATCGTCCTCATCATCATCATCATCATAATAATCGTCATCATCAGCAGCAGCATCATCATCAGTATCATCACCATCATCAGCATCATGTTCATCATCACCATCATCGTCATCATCATCAGCATCATCAGCATCGTCAGCATCACCAGCATCATCCTCATCGTCATAATCCTCCTCCTCATCAGCATCATCATCGTCATCATCATTACCATCGTCATCATCATGTCATCATCATGTCATCATCATCATCAGCATCATCATAATCAGCATCATCAGCATCATCAGCATCATCAGCATCATCAGCATCATCATAGTCATCATCATCCTCCTCCTGATCATCAGCAGCAGCATCATCGTCATCCTCAACAGCAACATCATCATCAGTATCATCAGCATCAGCATCATCATAATCATCATCAGCAGCATTAGCAGCAGCATCAGCATCATCAGCATCATCAGCATCATCAGCATCATCATCAGCATCATCATCATCATCATCATCATCATCATCATCATCCTACTCATGCCCTTGCTCTTGCTTGCCCTCCCCGTCTTCCCCTCCAACACCGCGAACAGGAGCGCGAGGCGCGCGCGGGGCCGACGTGGCACGAGTGCGAGGCGAACGGGGCAGCAGAGGCGGCCGCTCGGGGTCAGGCGTGCTGCGCAGCCCCGATGCGAGCGTGCGAGGCGCGCGAGGCAGCGCAAGGAGGGGGACCCAGACATGCTCGCGTCGTTTCTTCTTTTTCTGTCTGACAACCAAAAGAAACAACAACAACAACAACAACAACAACAACAACAACAACAACAACAACAAAAAGGACGGGAGCCTTGTGGCCGTTTTCGGCCCCTGGGGGCCCTCGCCGGGCCTCGGGACCGTCCAAAAAACGACTGAGGATTTTATTTTTTTCCAGCGCAATTTTGGAGGGGAGGAGGGGGGAAAAACGAGTGAGGATGAAAAAACGGTCCCCGGGAAAGGGCCGGGGCGTCCAGGGGCCCCGAATGGAAAAAAATCAAGACGTCGCATGTCTGGGGGAGGGAGGAGGTGCGCTGAGGGAGGGAAAGGCAGGGGGAGGACGAGGGGCTCGCAGCGTCCGGCCGTCCGTCCGTCCGAACTCCTCCTCCTCCTCCTCCTCCCTCCTCCTCCTCCTCCCTCCTCCTTATCCTCCTCCTCCTCCTGCTCCTGCTCCTCCTCCTCCTCCCAGGCGGCAATGCAACAAGTAGTGTGCCCTGAGTTCGAACGCCACGCAAAAGCGGTACTCTGCCGTAGCGCCCTGTCGGAGTGCCCCATCCGGACGTCGCATCCCGTTGCTCCATCCTGGAGCCACACGCGGAGGCCTACCCTAGCAGGCGCGTGAAAAATGACAAGCGAACTTCTCTGATGACATGCTTTCGGCTTTCGGTATTCGGTCTCCCGCCGTGACGATCCATGACGAATCTGGACGTCGATGACAGACGACTGAGAAATGCGTTTGGCATAAGTTTTGAGCAGCGATGGCCGCATTGAGTTGGATCACGAAGCACATATTGCACTGAATATGCCTGACAGACGCCCTGAACAGCCACCGTCGGAAGCGAGTGATGGGGTTCCCCATTGTGAGGGGCAACGTTTGGGGAGGGCCAGCGCGAGGGGGGCGGGGGGGGAGGGGGGAGACATCGAGCCAGAATCGGCGATACAACGCCGATGGATCGGCGAGGCCGCAGATAGCAAATCCCCAGGTTCCTGGGCGGGGTGGGTCCATCGGGCCCCTATCGGCGATGAATGGGCGATTGGGGTCCCCCGTATGAACCTGCCCCCCACACGTTGCCGCTAACATTGCAAGAAACACGCATGACATGAAAGCACTCGGGCACGCACAAATGAACGGTCAGGCGTGCTAAGCCGCGTCGCTGCGCCTCGACCACCATGTCCCCAGATGGTGCCAGCAGCCATGCCTTCCAGCCGCGGACGCGCGGGCAAGATTGGCCGAGACTGACGCGAGGTCACGAAAAGAAAAAGCTCCCAGCACACCTTCGTGAATACGTCCCCCCACTTGCGGTCGCTCACCATGCATTCAGCAAGAAAACGCAGCGTGCCCCATGTGCGGGCGCGTGCACCTTTTCCCACACCATCACAGTGCTTCCGCTGTTCTGTGTGAGTAGGTGCGGCGGCTGTTGCGTTCGCAGCGCTTCACACGACTTGCTCTGTTCGCCTCTCTTTCAGCAAAACAGAAGGGGAACAAGCCAGCACCAGCCTGGAGACTCAGAACGCGGCGACAGCCTCACGAAAAGAGCGCAGCCCCAGGCTCCTAACAGACCCAGGACCCTTGGTAGATCGAAGAGTGCGCGCCCAGACTGCCCAGACAGCACTGGGAAGGAAGCTGGGCCCAGCAGGGCAGAAGGCGAGGCGTCCCGATCCCTGGCCTCCGAAGCCTCAAGGACGTCTTCTCGAGGACAGAAGGGATGGCGGCTTGATCGGTTCCTCCTCCCCGAGCTCACTAGTCGCCCGCACCTCGGCGTCCCCAGGCTGTCGGAGCGGCCCCCAGAGGTCTCCCAAATGAGACACCCTTCTCGGGGCTCGAACGCCGCGAAGCAAGCTGACTGTTGCGGCTTGACGATCGTGAACCGTGCCAGAACACGACTCCTGGGATTTAAACACCGCGAACCAACGTAACTGTTGCACCCTGACAACCCTGAATCGTTCCAAACACACAAATTCTGGCAGGTTGACGGTGGGGATCCGCGAAACTCCTGTACATGCTTAAACCGAACGTGCGCGGCGCTACGGCGAGAGCAACATGTTGAAAACAGCCAGCCCTCAACCCGTGAAACGCTTGCCTGTCAACGCTTGCCTGTCTGTTAAAACAAAGGTGCGCGGCGCCAAGGCGAGATCCACATTTGAAAAGGAACCGCCCTCGATCCGTGAGATTCTTGCATCTGCTGAAACGAACGTGCGCCGCGCCAGAGCGAGAGCCACATGTTAAAAAGGAACCGCCCTCAACCCGTGAAACTCTCGAATCTTATATAAGCCGAATGTGCGCGGCGCTCAAGCGAGAGCCACATATTCAAAATGAACCGCCCTCAATCCCTGAAACGCTTGCAAATGTTTAGCACGAACGCAGGAGGCGCGAAGGCCAGAGCCAACGTTTGAAAACCACCGACCCTCAACCCGTGAAAGTCCTACAGTTTTCTGAAACGAATGCGCGCGGCGCTAAGGCGAGAGCCACATTTTGAAAACCACCCGCCCTCCATCTGTAGAACTGCTGCCAACTTCCCAGCTTCAGGGGCATACTTGGTAAGGAAGTCTCACGCGAAACGCCCAGCCCGCCCTGCCGACTGACCCCGGGGAGCGACGGGGAGGAGTCGTATCTAAGGGAGAGGAAGGGAATGGAGGAGGAGGAGGAGGAGGAGGACGAGCGAGGAGGAGGACGAGCGAGGAGGAGCGAGGAGGAGCGAGGAGGAGCGAGGAGGAGGAGGAGGAGGAGGAGGAGCGAGGGCGAGGCGGAGGCAGGAGGCGAAGAATCGGGGGAGCGAGGACTGAGGGAGCTGGGAGGCGAGGCCGAGTCGGTCCCCAGGGATGCCCAGCTGGCGTGCTGCGCATGAGGCGGACCGCACCGCCTCGTCGTCCACGGCGGGCTGCGCCGCTGCCCGCGCGGGTGCCGCCTCGGCGGCGACCGGCCGCCGCCGCCGCCAGCCGCCGCCGTGCGCGGCGACGCCGCCGACGCCGACGCCGCCGCCGCCGCCGCCGCCACCGCCGCCGCCTCATCCGCCGCCGACGCCGCCGACGACGACGACGACGACGGCGGCGGCCGCCGCCGCCGCCGAGGTGGGCCTCGCCCCCGGGCCGCCGCCCGCGCCCTGGGCGCGCCGTTGGGCCCCCGGGCCGCTGCCCCAGGGCCCAGGCTGCGGCGACGAGAGCGGCCCCGGCGGCCACCAGGCTGGCGAGTCCTGGGCGACGACGCCGACGACGACGATGACGCCGACGCCGACGCCGACGCCGACGCCGACGCCGACGCCGACGCCGACGCCGACGCCGACGCCGACGCCGACGCCGACGACGACGACGACGACGACGACGACGACGACGACGTCGAAGAGATGGAAGCCGACGACGCCGACGCCGCCGCCGCCGCCGCCGCCAACATCGACGCCGTTGTGCCCTCCCTGCGCGACCGGGTCTGTCGCTGGTCGGATGTGGTGGGTGATCTACACGAATGAGGATGATGACGGTGACGGTGACAGTGACAATGACGATGACGATGACGATGACGATGACGATGACGATGACGATGACGATGACGATGACGATGACGATGATGATGATGATGATGATGATGATGATGATGATGATGATGATGATGATGATGATGAGGAGGAGGAGGAGGATGAGGATGATGAGGATGATGAGGATGATGAGGATGATGAGGATGATGAGGATGAGGATGATGAGGATGACGAGGATGATGATGCTGATGATGATGATGACGACGATGACGATGACGATGACGATGACGATGACGATGACGACGCTTGCTGAATGCTGAGCGCACTCTGCACTCGTTACTGTGGTATCGGGCTCGCCCCGCGCTTTAGCGAAGCTGCAGACTTGATGCCTAAGCTCTTCGAGAACACACGACTACGGACGCTCTGTCGTACAGTCGGGGCGTTGACCTAATAAGGAACCCTAAATAAGGCACGAGGCCCCTTGATCCCATGAGTTAAGTTTTGATTTCCCATGGAAAACCAAAGGAAAACCCAAGGCAAACTGTACAACTATCAAGGAACACCGAGCCCCTCCCCAACGAAAAGGGTTTCTTCTTCAGCGCCCCGACTGTAGGAGCAATGGTAACATCCGCCCCGAAGTGGACGAAGCGCATCGGAAGAACAAACTCGTGAACCCACTCACGCCCCAAAGGGCTGGTGGGGTTCGGCACCGTTCCAAAAACTCGGTTCAAATTCGGCGGCCAATTGGAAGCAATCCTCGAGAAGGATCACAAGAAAGGTGCCCTGCTCGCGCAGGGGCTCGCGCGGAGCGCAACGATTATACCACCTAGTCCACATGTCCGCTCCGCCGAAAGATGGCAGAGCATATATATATATATATATACATATAAATATAACTATTATTTTGATTTTGCTTTCAAGAAAAACAAGCCCAAAGATCATGTCATCTCTTGGGGGCGCATCTTCTATTTCCGTCGCCGACCGCCGGCCTTCCGCCGCCTCCCGCCGAGGAAGAGAGATGGCACCTCCCTCGACCCTCCAGGGCGAAGGACCTCCCCGGAGCGCGCCACGGCGGGTCGAGGTCGACGCTCCGTCCGCCCCGTCCGCTCCACACGCCCGCTCTGTGAGGGATGGGCTGCACACGTCCGCTGCGCCCTCTCCGCGGGACCTCGCGCTGCGACTGGATCCCCAGTGCACACGACGATTCCTCGTCGGAGCTGCGTCGGGTCCCCGTCGGATCACGTCGGGTTCTCGGCGGACTCACGTCGGATTCGAGTTGGGACCTGCGTTTAGGTCGGGCATGTCCCCCTACAGGCGGATTTGGGGGGCAAATACACCCAACATGTCAACAACAAAAATCAAACAACAACAACAAAAAAACAAAAAAAACATGAGTATTTGTGCTACTATGTTCGAGCATTCCTCCTGTAGAGGGACAGGCCCGACTTAAACCTACGTCGCAGCATCGCCGCGCGAACGCCCACCCATATTGTATGGAGCGGACGTGTGGACTAGACGATGCAACTCCTGCGCGCCGCGAAAGGCCTCCAAGATGATCCTCGTGGAGCGTCGTGCAAGCAGCAAAGAAACGGCGGAAGGTTTCTGGCCGTGCTCGGCCCGGGGATCTTCTGACCCGCGTCAATCCAGACCCGGGCCAATCAGGCTTTGCAGAATCCTGCAAGATCCTGCAAGGTCCTGCGCCCAAGCCCGGGTCAACGCGAAGGATCTTGCAAGATCCTGCAGGACCCTGCGCCCAAACAGGGGTCAATCCGACCCTGGCCCTGCAGGATCCTGCAAGAGCGGGCGCTCTGGCTGACCCTCGTTTGCATCGACCCCCGTCTCTTGGCTCCCGATGGGCCCCTGGGGGGCCGTTGCCGGGCCCACGGACTGTCAAAAAACGGCTCGGGACGAAGAGCAAGTCGCTAGGAAGGGGTCGAGACCTTCGGGGAGCCGCGCTGCCAGAAAAAAACATGGCATCGGATGCCCGGGGCGGGCCGTGAACGTCGCAGCGACACTCCTCCTCCTCCTCCTCCTCCTCCTCCTCCTCCTCCTCCTCCTCCTCCTCATCCTCCTCCTCCTCCTCCTCCTCCTCCTCCCCTCCTCCTCCTCCTCCTCCTCCTCCTCTCCTCCTCCTCCTCCTCCTCCTCCTCCTCCTCCTCCTCCTCCTCCGCTCCTCCTCCTCATCCTCCTCCTCCTCTCCTCCTCCTCCTCCTCCTCCTCCTCTCCTCCTCCTCCGTCCTCCTCCTCCTCCTCCTCCTCCTCCTCCTCCTCCTCCCTCCTCCTCCTCCTCCTCCTCCTCCTCCTCCTCCTCCTCCTCCTCTCCTCCTCCTCCTCCTCCTCCTCCATCCTCCTCCTCCTCCTCCTCCTCCTCCTCCTCCTCCTCCTCCTCCTCCTCCTCCGCCTCCTCCTCCTCTTCCTCCTCCTCCTCCTCCACGTGCTCCTCCTCCTCCTTTTCCTCGTCCTTTTCGTCCTCCTGCCCGTCCACCTCCTCTTCCTTTTCGTCTTCTGCCTCCTCATCATCAGCATCAGCAGCACTATCATCATCAGCATCATCATCATCATCATCACCATCATCATCATCATCATCATCATCATCATCATCATCATCATCATCATCATCATCATCATCATCATCATCATCATCATCATCAGCAGCAGCAGCATCATCAGCATCATCATCATGGTCCACTCCTCGCCCTTAGCGTTAGACATAACACCTCCCCGTCACACCCTGAGGCATTTCAAAAGGGCGGGTTGGGTGTTTCGCATGAGACATCATCACCCTGTATGATCCTGAAGTCTAAAGAATTGGAAACTGTCTCACGGATAGAGTGCGGGCGGTTTTGAAAAAGTGGCTCTCGCGTTAGCGCCACGAACACTCGTTTCAAATATTGGCCAAAACTTCACGGATTGAGGACGGGCGATTTTCAAAACATGGCACTCGCCTATGCAGAGCGCACACTCGTCTTGGATGACCCTGCGACGTACCCAACCCATCGGCACCAAAGGATAATACAAGGTGGGCCGACGTAATGCGATAGCAACACTGCAAGAAACGGTGCACGGCGGAACTCTATATCGTGCGAATTGTGCGTGGCCACCTCACAGAACAGAGGTACAAAGGCCAGGGGGCCTTGCACTGGGAAGGGGAAGCAAAAGGAAGACATCGGCGTGAAAGAACAATCACCTCGGCAGAAGCAGCGAGATGATGGAGCATGGGCAAGATAAAGCTACACAGGCGGAAGCGCAAAAACACAATGACGTGTCGCGTTCTCCCATGCCGAAATGAGCAACACCTGCGCGGCCAGCGCTCCGCGTTGCTGCAGCGCCTCGAAAACTTAAAAGCTCCCCGTACCACTGCAAGAAGAGGTCAAGGCCTAGCTCACCCGCGAGCCTCTCCGCTGCGCAGGCGCGCCGCCAGCCCTCGCAAGTGGCGACAGTTTCACATGTCGCCTCGGGCTAGACGCGCGCACGGAGACCCAGCGTGCCGAGCCCATACAGGAGCCCATGCCAGAGAGACCCCCTCGCGTTGTGAAAAAACAAGACGGGGGAGGTTTTGCTACTTTCAGCCCCCGGGGGCCCTCACTGGGCCTCGGGACCGTCAAAGAACGACTCCGGACGAAAAACCGGTCCCGGGGCGTGGTTCGAGACCTCCAGGGGTCGACGTTATGGAGAAATAATGACGTCGGGAATCTCGGCACTAAACACCCAACAAGCTAAGTCGCTGAGTAAACGCACCCAAAGGAAGGAATCGAACAGGGCAAGGCTGTGTAGCAAACACCCAGGGCCGTTCAGCAAATAAAGGAACAAAGAAAATCATAAACATTAACTTTTGGAGCTCCGCGCGGATTTCTCGGATCCGCGCAAGAGCACCCCCTCCCTGGCGCGCGGAGTTCGCCAGGGGTGGCGCCAGAGGCGCCGCCCGGGGGCCCAGCGCGGATGCAAGAAACCCGCGCGGAGCGCCAAAAGTTTATGCTTATGGCGTTTTCTTTCTTCTTCGAGGAAACGCCAGTCATCGGGGTCGGGGTGGTGTTTCCTCCCTTGACGCGCTGTCAGCCCAGACATGCGACGTCCTGAATTGCTCAATGCGGGGGCCCTGGAAGTCCCGGCCCTTTCCCCGGGACCGGCTTTTCATCCTGAGCCGTTTTTGACGGTACCGAGGCCCGGCGAGGGCACCCAGGCACCGACAATGGACAAAAACCTCCCGTCCTGATTTTCTCATGACGCGAGCATGATCTGGGAAGGTATGCGGCCGCATGCTGCCGAGAATCAGCGCGCACTGCACGCCGAGCTGCAGCGCGGAACCCTGTTCCCGCCGAGGCTCGCGCGAATCTCTCGGGCCTGCGGTGGCCACCTCGGGACGGCCTGGACACCTCCAGAGCGCTATATCGGCGAGGCGCAGCTGCTGGAGAGCATCCCGAGGCCTCCAGGGACACCACGAAGGCACCCGAAGACCCGGGACCTCGACAGTCCGCCGCGGGGGAAAAGGAAGGAAAGGTGAACCATGCGCCCGAGGGCGCGTCGGCGCGGCCCGGGCGAGCACGCAAGACTGGCCGATCAGAAAGCGCGCGAACTCCATCCTTCAGGCGACGAACTCTGGGCATCCCCACCGCCCCGGGCCCGGCTCCTCCCCGGCCCAGGATAAGGAAGCGAACGAGGGCATGAACACACAAAAGCTCGGAGGTCCTCGCGGACCTCTCGGATCGGCGCCGGTGTGGGGGTGTGGGGGTGTGGGGGTGTGGGGGTGTGGGGGTGTGGGGGTGTGGGGGTGTGGGTATGTGGGGGCGTGGGGGTGTGGGTGTGTGGCGGAGCGCGCCGGGGGCAGGCGCCGCCAGGGGGCCCCTGCGCCGATCCGAGAAGTCCGCGCGGGCCTCCGAGTTGTGATGCTCATGTGCTCACTTGCTCGCTCCCCACACAGGAGCGGCGCGTGCGCCCTCTGGCCTGGCCAGGCACCGCGCCCAGGCCTGGCCTTAAGTCGGGCCTGTCCCCCCTTGCAGGGGGATTTTCGACGAAAAATAAAAGATACCCCAAAAGTAATCAAACAATAGTCCGAAAATAGTATGGGGACTATTGTTTGAATATTTTTTGGCCCTTTTGGGGTATTTGTTGTTTTTCGTCGAAAATCCTCCTGTAGGGGGACACGCCCGACATAAGCCTGGCCACAACGGCAGCAGATAGGTCTAATTCTCCTCGCCCGAACCCCGGCCCCCGACGTCATGGTTTTTGTTCACAACGTGCCAGCTGCACGTAAGAGTGATCCTGGGTAAGAGTGACCTTTGGTGCGCGGCTTTTTGGGGGCCGCGGGGGGGGCCAAACACAAGCGCGCAAGACGCCACTGCCGCCTCGCGTTCGGCGATCGGGGACCCCAATGGGCCCGCACCAACGGTCACTCTGGCGAAGGGTCACTCTTACGTGTAGTCGAACGTGGACCCCTGGAGGTCTCGATCAAGTTCCCGGCACAGGTGTTTATCCTGAGTCGTTTTTGGACGGTCCAAGAGCCTGGCGAGGCCGAGAACACGACGAAAAGGGGTCTGGGAAGGACGTCAGGCTGACGCCTTGCCCCCGATGCTTTTGGACGCCCGAAATGACTAAGGAAAAAATCGGGACGATGTCCAACAACAAATGTTGTCGAAAACCGACAGCGACCGCTGTTGGGCAGGCACCTTCTGTCTCAACAATGGGCAACGTCCGCGGCAACGCTGGCAGCGAATCCTGTTCAGACTGAACAGGAACCGCTGTTGGCCTTCGTACCCAATATTTCTATACCCGCTTCGATCGTACCCAAGAGGCCCCAAGAGGCCGCCAAGAGGCCCCCAAGAGGCCCCCAAGATGCCCCCAAGAGGCCCCCAAGAGGCCCCCAAGAGGCCCCCAAGAGGACCCCCAAAAGGGCCCCAAAACTGCCCCCAAGAGGCCCCTGAGAGCGCTCCGAAAAAAAAAACAAGAAGCCTCCTTGAGACCTCTAACCCACAACCGACGCACGGTGGCGGGATAAGCCGAAGGCCATTAGATACAATTCGGTGCCCGTTCGCTGATCTTGAGACCCACCCAACCCCCACGATCCCTTGCGATGAATCACCGTTTGGTGGAACTCCGCCGGTCTTCACGGGCGACCCAACACCCACCATCCCATGAACAACTATCCGGTCGCTGCACCTGCCGATTCTCATGCCGTTGCAACCATCACAACCCGTTGCAGCAAGTACCCCTTGATAGGATACCCGTTCCAATCGTACCAGGATGCGGGTCGACCGCCTGGCTTCCTCCGACCCCCCGGAGTAGGAGGAACAGGAGGAGGAGGAGGAGAAGAAGAAGAAGCGGGAGGAGGTGGAGGAGGGAAAGGGGGATGAGGAGGAGGAAGAGGAGGAGGAGGACGAGGAGGAGGAAGAGGAGGAGGAGGAGGAGGAGGAGGAGGAGGAGGAGGAGGAGGAGGGGGAGCAGGAGGAGGGGGAGGAGGAGGAGAAGAAGAAGGAGCGAGAGGAGGAGGAGGAGGAGGAGGAGGAGGAGGAGGAGGAGGAGGAGGAGTAGGAAAAGGAGGAGGAGGAGGAAGAGGAGGAGGAGGAGGACGACGACGACGACGAGGAGGAGGGGCAGCGCGGAGGTCCCGCCGCGCCCGCGCAGCTGCGCCGGCCGAGTGCCCGCGGCCCGGAGGCCTCCGCCGCAGCGAGCGGGGAGCCTGGCCGAGGCAAGCGGCGGCAGGCTTGCCTCGGAGTCCCACGTTCGAGGCTCGACGCTCGAGGTCCGAGGTTCGATGGCCGAGGTTCGAGGCTCGACATATTCGTAGAGTCGACGTTCAGAGTTCGACGTTCGAGGCTTGACGTTCGAGGTTCGCCATTTTCGTAGACTCGACGTTCGAGGCTCGACGTTCGAGGCTCGACGTTCGAGGTTCGACGTTCGAGGTTCGACATCTTCGTAGATTCGACGTTCGAGGTTCGACGCTCGAGGTTCGACATCTTCGTAGATTCGACGCTCGAGGTTCGACGTTCGAGGTTGAACGTTCGACGTTAGACGGCCAAGACGGCCAGGACGACGGAGCCAGGACGTTCGAGGTCGGCATTTTCGTGGGTCCCCGGAGGATTCCCAGCCACAGGGGGCGTACCAGCAGCTGCCTGCAGGCCATCTCAGACCCTCCCAAAACATCTCATCCTCCTCCTCCTCGAAACATCATCATCAGCAGCATCCTCATCATCATCAGCAGCAGCAGCAGCATCATCATCATCATCATCATCATCATCACCACCACCACCATCATCATCATCATCATCATCATCATCATCATCACCATCATCATCATCATCATCATCATCATCATCATCATCATCATCATCATCATCAGCAGCAGCAGCAGAAGCATCATAATCATAATAAGCATCATCAACAACATCATAAACAGCAGCAGCATCATCACGTGCATCAGCATTACCATAATGATCAGCAACATCGGCATCGGCATCGACATCCTCATCATCATCAGCAGCAGCATCATCATCGTCATCATCATCAGCATCATCATCGTGCGTCTCCTCTCCCTACTCCTCCACATTCCTTCTCCGCTTACACATCACCATCCACTACACCCTCCTCCATCTCCGACTCCGCCTTACCATCATCAGATGTCCATGTTATTCCTCATTTCCTCCTGTCCTCATTCTCTTTCCCCTTCCCATCCTCCTCCCCTTCCTCCTACTCCTCATACTCTTCCTCCTCCTCCTCCTCCAACTCCCCTTCTCCTCCTCCTCCTCCTCCTCCTCCTCCTCCTCCTCCTCGTCCCCCTCCTCCTCCTCCTCCTCTCCTCCTCCTCCTCCTCCTCCTCCTCCTCCTCCTCCTCCTCCTCCTCCTCCCTCCTACAACTCCTGTTTCTACTCCTGGTTATCCAGCTCTTCCACCTCCATTGCAATGTCAATCTCCTCCGCTGCCACCTCCTCATCATCATCACCACCACCACCACCACCATCATCATCATCATCATCATCATCATCATCATCATCATCATCAGCATCATCATCATAAGCACCACCATCACCATCACCATCATCAGAATCATCATCATCATTATAATCAGCATCATCACCATCGCCGTCGTCTTCGTCATCATTATCATCATCTCCTCCACCACCACCACCACCATCGTCATCATCATCATCATCATCAGCAGCATCATCATCATCATCAGCATCATCATCTTCATCTCCATCATCATCAGCATCATCATCAGCATCATCAGCATCATCTTCATCATCAGCATGAGCATCAGCATCATCATGATCATCATCATCACCTTGCCGATTATCACAAAAATCATTCACATAGTCATCATAGTCCTCAGCATCATTATCAGCATCATCAGCATCATCATCAGCATCATCAGCATCATCAGCATAAGCATCATCATCATCATCTGCAGGATCATCATCGTCATCAGCATCATCACCATCAGCATCATCATCAGCATCATCATCGTCACCATCGTCATCGTCATCATCACCATCACCATCACGACCACCACCACCACAATCATCATCGTCGTCACCATCAATCAGCATCAGCATCGTCACCAGCAGCAGCAGCATCCTCCTCGTCGTCATCATCAGCAACATCATCAGCAGCAGTACCATCATAATCATCAACAGCATCATCATCAGCAGCATCATCACCATCATCATCGTCGTCGTCGTCGTCATCCTCCTCCTCATCATCATCGTCATCATCACCCTTTCCCTCCCCCTCCCCTCACTCTCTTCTTTACTCACTCCGACTCCTCCTTCTCCACAGAGTCCTGCTCATCCTCGTCTTCCCCACCCTCTACTTTCTCCACTTCCCCCTCCTCCCGGTCCCCCTCCTCAGACCTCTCGACCCCTTCCCTGGGGCTGGCCTTTCATCTTCAATCGTTTCTGGTGGCTCCAGAAACCGAAATCGGCCCCCCTCTGCCTCCCCACACCTCTTGACACACTCCCTATGGCTGGCCCGTCATCCTCAGCCACGCTTGAGGGCACCGAAATCCAAGCCCTTCTTCTGAAGCCCCCCACTGGCCACAAAACCTCTGTCTCGAGGTGCTCGGGCGCCGAATCTCCCGTGGCCTCCCGAGACTTCCGACGGCTTGCTCTCTTCCATCCGCGGGCCCCGAAGGTCTCGACCCCTTCCCTGGGAGGAGGAGGGGGGCGAGGTGGAGGAGGAGGAGGAGGAGGAATAAGAAGAGACCACTATGTGTGCGTCGCCGCCCCCCGCCCCCCGCCCCCTCCCCTGGCCCCCTGGGGCGACACGCGCGATCAGAATTCTTACAGTTCAGTCGGGCACGCACCTCTACAGGAGGAATATTCAAAAATAGTCCAAAACAGTCCGGGGGCGATGTTTCGACCATTTTTTTCCTACTGCACTCAAAAATAAGGGGGCCAGGGGAAGGGGCGGGGGGCGGGGGGCGGCGACGCACACATAGAAATTTCCTCCTCCTCCTCCTCTTCCTCCTCCTCCACCTCCTCCTCCTCCCCCTCCTCCTCCTCCTCCTCTCCCTCCTCCTCCTCCTCCTCCTCCTCCTCCTCCTCCTCCTCCCGACTTGACCCTCCCCACTGCGCGCACGCATCCCCCACTCCGGGGGCCTGCTCCGGCGGGCCGCGCACGCCCCTCGCCCGTCGCACGCCGCACCTCGCACGCGCGAACGCGCGCTGGGAACGCCCGCCCCCACGACCACGACGAAGACGGCGACGCAGGGGGGGCAGTCAGCAGGAGGAGGAGGAGGAGGTTGAGGAGTAGTAGGGGGAGGTTGAGGAGGTTGAGGAGGAGGAGGAGGAGGAGGAGGAGGAGGAGGAGGAGGAGGAAGACAAGCTAGGTGCGCTCGCGCCATATCTGACGTCCTACCCCTCCCTCCCATCCCTTACCATGGCGTTGATTTTCTCTATCCGCGGACGCGTGTCGTAGCGGACCTGTGGCTCCGCGCGCGCGCGTAGTGGGTGGTGGTGCGCGTGCGTGCGTGCGTGCGTGTGTGCGTGGTTGTGGTGGTGGTGGTGGTGGGTGGGTGGTGGTGGTGCTGGTGCTGGTGGTGGTGGTGGTGGTGGTGGTGGTGGTGGTGGTGGTGGTGGTGGTGGTGGTGGTGGTGGTGGTGGTGGTGGTGGTGGTGGTGGTGGTGGTGGTGGTGGTGGTGGTGGTGGTGGTGGGGGCGGTGGTGGCGGTGGTGGCGGGCGGATGGGCGCGCGAGAAAGAGGCCCGCGCTGGGGCGAGAGCGCCATCCTGAAAATGAGGCCCACGCTGCAGCGGGAGCACGATTCGGAACGATTCGGGAGCAGAAATGAGGCCGGCGCCTCAGCGAGAGCAGCATTTGGAATGAAAAAACAACCAACAAAAAAAAAAAACGCAGGCGAAAACCCGTTTCCCGGGAATCCTGTGTGTTAAAAAAACAGTACGCCGGGGGGGGGGTCGGCCATCTTCGGGACGCCATCAGGCGAAGTGAGAGAGTATTTTCATATTGTGTAATTATGGAGGTGGAGGTGGAGGAGGAGCGAGCGGCCTCAGGAGGTGTCTAGGTCGGGTGGGGGCGGTGGGGCGGCGGCGGCGGCGGCGGCGGCAGGCCGCAGTAGGGAGGCCACAGTCGGGCCTCCACGCCGCGCTGCCCAGCGAAGGCGAGCTCGCGCGACTGCGTGGAGCTCGACAACGGATCTCCGTCGCTCTCGGCACGCACACAACAGGGCGTAGGCTAGATCATGAAGGAGACCAACAGAGCAAGGCAGGGGCAGGGAGGGGACCAAGGGGGAAAACGAGGATCCGATGCACCGCCGAAGCATCCTGAAAACCCTCGGGGAGCGACGGGAGCATTCAGAAAATATCCCCCAGGACGGGGCAGCTATAATAGTGCTGTGTGTCATCTCCCCCACGGCAAATTCACACCACCTGCAACATAATGTGGCTTCTCGAAACCTGCGAGAGGTGCACCAGCTATTACACAGGGCACGGATCGACGCAATGACAACGCGCCGGGGGGGCGATCCGACCTAGGCGCCCAAGGCACATCATACAATCATCCACTTCGGGGGCCGTGGGGGGGAGACGGGTGAAATATTGGATACGCCTGCCAATCGCACACCGTGCGGCGAGGGGGCGGTCAGAGCTCAGTGGGCGATCATTTTTTTCTCTGCAGCGGGGGCGTCAGAGGCGGCAGCCGAGGGAGAGCAGTGACCGTGTCGTAGTTTTCGATCAGGGCCATGATGGGGCATGTCTTGATGAGGGCGTGTCTTTTCCAAAGGATAACACATTCATCGGATTCGGCGAACTCTTCGAGCTCACGTCGGGTGGCGAAGAACGAGGACGAATAATGAGCGAGACGAAACATCGCAGCACTGCACATACATTCGAGATCACGCATCTGAACTCTGGCCCCCAAGGAGGTGAGGTCTTGCAACAACACTGTCGGGATGGCATTTCTCGGCGCGTTGGTGAGAGCCTGCCCAGCCTCGCGCAGACGGTCCAGTGCGAATTTGGCGGGGAGGAAGAATTGCCCGATGAACGTGGGGCAGGAGAATCCGCACACATTAGACCTGGCAATGCTCTTGATGAGTCCCAGAAACAAGCCCTTGATACTCTTGGCTCCCCCCTCCATCTTCCGCACAGGTCCTTCCCAGCTCAACGACTTAGCTTCCCACCCGAGAACCACCCCAAGATATCGGGCAGCAGTAGCGAGAGTGAAACTATCCCTGCGGATGCCAATCTCGCGGAGCTTATTCTTAAACTCAGCGATCGAGGGCCAGCTGTGAACTACGATAACCGTCTTCTTGATATGCAAAATAAGTCCCGCCGCACCTGCAGCAACAACCCAAACCTCGAGAGCCAGCAAGAGAGCCTGATAAATGCCCCTGGAGACGATCCCGACGTCGTCGGCGAAGGCCCGCACGAGGCCGAGGCGCGGGGGGATTTTGCAGCACGTGAGCCTGCGGATCGGGTCCATGGCCAGCGCGAAAATCGATCCAGAAAGCGGACACCCTTGTTCACTGCCCCGCCCCGGCCAGTAAAAGTGCCCGCGGAGCCCACAGAAGAAAATATCAACGCGCACGTGCAAGCACAGGGCCGCCACGGCCGCGCGGACGTGGGAGGGGGCATTCGCGACGAGGAGGATCCAGGAGATCATGCTGTGGAGGAGGCTGGGAAAGGCGGCCCTCACGTCGAAGGCGACAAAGCCCGCATCACAGTACAAATGCTGACAGTACCAGTGGAGCGCTCTTGCCTCGATGTCTAGGACATTGTTAGTCATGCCCCTGCCTTTAATAAAACCCTTCTGGACGTCGAGGCAAGTTTGCTCACGCATAAGGCCCATCGGGACGTTGAACGCCGTGGAGACGACCTTATTGCAGGTGTTGCTGAGGGTGATGGGCCTAGTGCTTTCAGCCGCTCGAAGGATGCCAGTGCCCAGAGCGCCCGAAGCTTGTTCGCCTTTGGCCAGAAGCACAGCCATTCCGCGGTTGAAATCGCCCTCAGGAAGTTCGCCCCTCAGAACCAGAGAGTAGACCTCGAAGATAAGATTGGCGACCAGTGGGCATCCGCGGGCCGGGCACGAGCACGGGGCCCCATCGGGCCCAGGGGCGCCGTCGCAAATGTTAGAGACGATGTGGTGAACCCCGGGGAGCTCTAGAGTCCAATGGATGCCTGGCGGACACTGCTGAACATACGGCCTCAGAAGTTCGCGAACACGACTGGCTCCAGAGAACCCTTCGTGAACTTGCCCCCGGTGCTGTGCAAGAGCGAGCCCAACTTCATCAGGGCCGTGCAAGCGCTGCCCCGTCGGATCCACGACGCCAGTCAGAAAAACTCTTTTCTGAAACTTGCCCCAGGCGGAGGTGTGGGATTCCAGCCGAGCTGGGGGCCCATGGAGGTCGCCTCGAGTTCGGCCTGGCGTTCCTGGATCCCCTGGAGGGAGAGACCTCGCAGATGCTCATGAAATTGATGCTCGTCCGTCCAAGCGACGCCAACGCCTTGCACGCATTGGCCAAGCTGCGGGTAGCAACGGACAGCGCGAGCAACCAGCTCAGCGTGTCCCTGGGCAACTGCACGCATTAAAGTGAGCGACCACGTGATCCGCTCGACGGTGCTCTGAGCTGGCCGAAGCGCAAGTCTGCATCGGACTTGCTCGGCGGCTCCTCGAAAGAGATCTCGGGCTTCCTGCAGGGCAACTTGGACGCCCTGATGAAACGAGCCATGGTCCCCCAAGAGCTTCTCCATCTCCTCCTTAAACCAGGGATGCCTCGAGACCCAAAACGGGATTTTGCCATTCCCAGGAGACCCAGGAGGAGTATGCGCGAGGCAGACGGGGACGCGGTCACTCGGGTTGCCTTTCTTGTTGGGAACGCCCAAGACGAGGCTGTTAGGGTAGAGGTCCAAGGCTTGGGCAGGGTTGAGGTTGGTGTAAACCCTATCGATTCGACCTAGACTGACTCCCTGCTGAGGAACGTGCGCGGCATGCGTAAACTCGGGCTGATCCCCCTCAAGCAGATCAGGAAACGCGCGGGCAAACTCGCTGGCGAGGGCGTTCTGCGGCACCACGGTGCGTCCGTCACTGCGAGCCCGACTCTCGCCCAGACTGGGGAAGTTCCAATCACCCATTATGACAGATAAACCTCGGCGCTGCGGAAGGATAACGTTGCGAAGACACTGCAACACCTCGGATTGTTGACGACGACGGAGTTTGCGGTTGAGATGCATGTCGATGACTTGCAGCGTGCATGATGAGAGTGAGTGGAGAACATCTGGAATAGAGAAGGGTGGATAGCAATCATTCAGCCGCCAGCTCCTTCACGCGGATGGAAGGTGCCGAAGAAGTGTGAACCTTGAATATCGTGCTGAAGCAGTCTCATGTCCTCGCGATTTCCATGGGTCTCCTGGAGTCCGATAACTGAATGTCCCTGAACAAATTTTGTGCGAAGTTGGTGCTTCGCTCCAGTAACCTCGATCGGCGCACTGGTGGAACAGAAAAGACCTCGTGAGTTCCAAGAGACTGCCGAATACATATGTCGTCTCTGAAACGGAACTGAACTAGCCGCGCAGCTGCTGGACGGCCCAGACGAGCACAAAGAGGAAGAGGAAGAGGAGGTGCCATCATCTGCACTATCAGAATTAGCTCGCCCCCGCGCTTGCACTGCCGACCCCACCGGTGTACAAGGCGTCGGAGACCGCGAAGAAGAACGAGTAGCTCTGCGAGTCCTTCTCGCAGGTGCACTCGGAGGCGTGCAAAGCGTGGGTGTGGCAGACAAAGTAGCAACGACCTGGGCCTCCAGGACTGAAGTCGAACCAGGAGGGGAAGAAGTGGGCCCGTACCGCAGGTCGCAGCACAGGATGAGATGGAGAAGCCAAAAGGACTTGGCGCGATGCTCTGGACGTCCGAGTCAGTGTCGTCAGCAGGAAACTGCACGCGAGGCCTGTGAATTTCCTAGCTCATGGCAATGCGGATCCAGGAGTTGGCCATCTCCTGAGAGATATCGAATGTTTTGAGGCTGTCCATTTCCGGGTGAATGTCCATCTGCTCGTTGGACCTCTCGGCCAGCGTGAAGAGCGCCCATACGTCTTCTCCCCATGCCATGAACAGCGCACCTTTCGTCGGGTTGCTGCCGATCTTCATGCAGCTGAGGTCTAGCACGTTGGTGCGCTTCAGGTGATCCACGAACTGCCGCCAGAGCTGGCCGAGAAAGCGATTCTTCTTGCGGACGTCGAGCGAGGCGCCCATCCGTGCTCGAAGGGGGTGTCGTCGTTGCCAACGGCCAGTCCAGGATAGACCTTCAGCGCGGACCCTATCTAGAAACGCTCGAGCGTGCAAGTTGGATCCGAACTTGATGGAGTAGCTGCGGTTCAGGTTATACGATTTGACCTCAGCGGGCATGGCCATGTCCTGGGGCATCGCCTCGATGACTGCCTTCGCGTGGGCGCGCATGACCACGGCGAGCATCTCGCTCGGAAAGCCGCCAATCCAAACCTTGCAGGGGTCCGACTCGTAGGCGCCCCATCGTGAGAATGCTGGCGGCGGCCGAGGTGGCGGAGCCCACCGAGGATGGCGGCCGAGAGGGCGTCCCGCTGGAACTGGCAGACGACAGAGAGGACGACATGGCCCTCAGCTTCTGATCGAGCTTCTCCTCGAACCTCGCCTCCAGCTGCTGGAGGACCGCGGAGCCCTGGGCATCTTCGATCGCCGTGCGCGTCTCCCTCGCCTGCTGGTCCATCCTCTCGCTCAGCTCGCTGATGGCCTTGTCGTGCTTCAGCAGGGCGGTGTCGATCTCAGTCTTGGTAGCGATGGTTTCCTTCTTCCTGTCGGCTTCCATGGATTTCATGAAATTCAACAGGTCGGCGAGAGACGGCTGAGGCAACTCTTCCTTCATGGGTTCCTCCGTGGCCGCAGTAGCAGACGGGCTATCCATGGCCCCAGGATCAGCA